GAGCTTCGTCCAAACTGGCAAACCAGGACAAGTACTCTTTGATGTTGGAACGGGTTGAAAAGACTCCTTCATGTGCACTCTGGTAAGGACATACAGACATGGGTCTTGACCTTAACAAAAAATACATTGTACTAGTTATCACTCCAAAATACTCCCTGTCAGTAATAATCAATGGTCTCTGACTGAGACAAAGGTATTGGAGCACTTTAGGGACACCTCCTTTGCCACTTACTTTATCCACACTTTTCCCCCTTAAAATGTTGATTTTAATGTTTTTGATCATTAACTTTGCTGTCAAGGGGAGGTTTGATCACTTTAAAAACATACATACCTAGGTTCTCTATACTGAGGTCACATAAAGACAAATATAAAGTATGGACCTTTTGAGTGTGATTTGCAAAGGTACTGTCTCAGAGACTTTTAGCCAGGATTGAAGCTTAATAGGCAAATCAAACCACATCTTCTATTCCTGTTCTAGTTTCTTTGCTGCCCTTAGAATGAAAGCTAGTTATATTGCTCTCAAAAAACAGAACAATGTGGTTAAGCATGTTGCAAACATGGTGTCACACAGAAAGTCATGTACAGTGAAGCTCTAGCTGGTTAATCATACATGAGAAGGCACTGGAATGCTACAGGCTTAGATTGTGCAGGGCATTTCCACGATCAAATTCATCTGAAACTCCACTTAAAACTGCTCTTAAGCTCCTGAGGTGACTTAAGAAAATCAAAATTGATTCATTACCTCTCTCCTTCTGTCTTTGTGAAATTTAAGTTGTATTGTTTACATCCTCTTCTAAACACTTGCTTCTCAGGTTGCATCCTGAACATGCACTGTAATTAGAAACCAATTCAATGACTGTATTGTACATGTGTCAATGTTAATGTTTGTGTGGTCTGAAATTTTGAGAGTAATATCTAAAGTACTAGTAGGTGACAGTAACTAGTAACTTTAAGATTGAGATTTTTTCTTAATTAGAGTGAATGGCAAATGTCAAGATATTATGAGACATAGCTCTTGGCACACAACTTAAGTTGACCATTCAGGTTTGAATGTGAGGAGTGCTGTTTTGCAAAGAAATGATTGAAGACAAAGGTCTTCCTGTACTTTAAGACTTGACACTTGCATTTTACACTTCAATTTACTTCTTTTATTATCTGAAATATCTTGTTGACAATTAGGGCCAGTTATTTAAACAAAATTTAGCAGTTGTTTAAAAAAACTGCAATCTAGACTATCTTGAATAAAGGCTGATACTTTCTAAAGAAACTGTTTGGGGATGCGTCGGTGGGGGTAACGAAATAATTTGGACATATCAACAAAGTTGAAATGGTAAATTGGCCACCGTAATGATTACAAAAGCTGACGTTTTGAGCGTTAATAGCCCTTCGCTACGATGAAGGGCTAACGCTCAAAACGTCAGCTTTTGTCGCGTTACGATGACCAATATATCATTTCAACTTTGTTGATATATCCAAATTATTAGACTATCTTGAATTTTGCTACATCTTTTACCAGAACATTTATCTTTGTGAACAGTGTCAAGAGGGCTGAAAGTTAGCAGTGGCAGGACATGTATAGTGAAAACAACACTCTGAGAGAGAATACCTGAGGCCCTCTGCTTGCATAAAACCATGGTTTGGGTTAGACCTTGTTTAAATAACTAGCCCTTAAAGTTTTATTGACAGAGCAACAAGAGAGTTGAAGTACCGGTAATCTGAAATTTTGGACAAACATTGCACCAGCCAATCTTTAAACATCCTGCTAAAAATAGACAGATTTATTCACTAAAGTCACACTTTTCCTTTTCGATGGGCTTTTATTTCGCAAAACATTCAACTGTCTCAAAAGATTTGGGCATGCTCATATGCCACAATCATCTCAAAAACTAAAAAAAAAAAAAAATTCCTTGAGAATCTTACATGCTAAGTGTGAAAATACCCCAAATGGTACACTACAAACTACAAACTGCAGTTTGTGGTCAGCAGTTTTTTGAAAAAACCTCAATCCTAATATCTTTACTGATGCTTCAACAACCTTAAAGCTTAGCTGTAGTCATCATTAGAGTCAAGGCAGGAATTGTTTGTCATGGAGCCATTCTAACACAATAAAATACCTGAGCAGAGGCAATTTTCTGAGCTGAGGTGGCAGACTTGAGAAGCATCAAAAACTGATCCTAAAAATTAATATGTGAAATAGTTGATATGGTTTTCCTCCAGATGCAAGAATAAGGATAAAAACAACTTGAGAACATCTGCATCTTTGTAAAATGTCATTAGGCCAAATCAAGCCAATTTAGGGAGAAGGAATGTTGAGCCAGAAACTTCAAAATGTAAAAACACACCTGTAGGACAGTGTTAATCTTGTATCTCGGCAATGTTTATGCAAGACGGTCAAAACAGTCAACAAAGCAACCAGTACAATTCAACTATTTTTCAACTTGACTTACACAATTACAAAGGATCCACAAGAGGAGAGAAGCTAAAACCAGCTAAATACATTGGGTGGCCATTGATGTAATGTTAATGCTGTGTGAAACTCAAAAGTTAAGCTAGTCATCACTTTACATGTAAAAATAAAAAATGTATCAGAAGGGTACTGGTATTTACAGAATTTACTGTTCATGAATTTCTTATGTGTTTTCTTTTAAACTCAACACATGCAACTTAAGCAGAAAAAAAATTGCAGTCAATAAAGTTTTGAACAAGTTTCTTGAATGGAACAAAAGAGTGACTGTCATCAATAATTAATTCATGTTTTGAATGAAGTGAAACTTAAACATCAATACCCCTGTATAGCAATAGAAATGAAGCTGTAAAAACAGGATGCCAAAATTATAAAATCAAAGATAGTCATGCAAATAAATAAGTTGTCTTAATGTGAGATGTTCAGAAAATAATCATGGTTATAGACCTTTACTTCATCAATGTTTTGATTTGTCCAAAATTCATCAATCCAACGTCCCCTATTCCTCACATCTTCCACTGGAATGGTAAAACCTACAATTTGGGAAAATCACTTAAGATGATCAAAACTATGAATGAAAATTAGAACCTTAATGTGTATTCACTCTGAGTGATATTTAATTTGGGGAATGATTCTTCTGAGGTTGAAGAGGCTGCGACAAAAAGTTGAAGAATAACAACAGTGTCAAGCTATTTTTATTAATAATTGAAAAATATAATGAAGCTCACATGCAGCTTTAACTGTCAGTAATAATTATGGTAAGCCTTTATCAAATATTCTTGCATCAATCATATTATAACAGGGAAAAAAAAATTGAAAAAAGAGCTCACCAAGCAAAATGTGAGTATCAGCTTCAATCATCAACTGGAGATCCCTTATCACTGCTGTGGCAAATATTTCGGAAGCCTACAACCCATATCATACAAAAAAAACCCAAAGAAAGCTGTAAACTTCCTGCAACAGGCTACCAATAAATCAAGAAAGGAGGTAGGTTGCTAGGGAAACTGTGATGCTGCGTCGGTCACAGTTATTACAAAATAATTAGGTTTCATCGACTAAGTTGATTATGAAAATTGGCCACCATAAAGAGTTTCTCAAGTTGAGGTTTTGAATGCTAGCCTTCATCAGAATAAACTGGGAGAGTTTTTTTGATATGTGTGCTATATAAGTACACATAATGTATTGGACATTTTGTTGTGTAGTATCGCTGAGTATTTTTACGAGTTGTGCAGCTGTATTTTGACAAGCCCATAGGGCGAGTCAAAATACAAACAACTCGTAAAAATACTCAGCAATACTACACAACAAAACATCTAATAAGAGATTTATTACCCAACACGCCACATTATTATTTCAGTGTGGGCAAATTTCGTGGATATATTTCTGGAGTACAAATATTGTGTGATATTTGTGATATTTGTACTCATCTGGTGCGTTATTTGTACTCTATGAAGCACAGTTGGATAATAATGGTTATTATTATTATTTTAATTGTGAATAAAAGGCTAATGCTCAATATGCCAGCTTTAGAAACTCTTTATGGCAGCCAATTTACATTGAATTTATTGAACAGATTACTTAGCAAGTTATTACAAGTTAATACTGAGTGAGTGTGAAAATTATTCCTGTCAAAATCTGGTTTTCTCAAAGCAATAACATTTGATTGTTCTAACGAGAAAGTTTTCTCCTCTAAAATCAATTTGTTAATGATGAAAGTTTTCTTTCCATAACTCTGATTCTCAGACTTGTCTCAACCTATAGTGTTACAATAATCTATCAATTTTTAAAGGTTCGGGGTGTTTTTGTTGAACATAGCTATAGGCAATCAACTTTCACTTCCCTATAGGGTATGTCATGTTCAAGACAGACCACACATATGTTTTCTACAAGTCTGTTGTTTTGGACTTTTTTCTGAGGTTAAAAATACTTTTTTACCTAGAACCTATTGGCTAGAGGCCCAGAGGCTGATCCAAAATTAAAATTCAATATGCCAGGTTATTCTTTGGCTAACCTGGAGCAAAGTCATATGCATGTCACAAAGCTAAGGAGGGTTAATGTACCTGATCTATCCCTGGGCCACTGATAGCATATTCCATCCTGATTTCAATGTCTTCTGTGTTTTTTACAGGGTAGAGGCCTCCACCAAACACACAAGGACCAATCAGAACTGGTAATGGTTTCTGTAAGATAAACTGGTAAAATAATGAATAGATTATTTTGCCACGTATGGCATTAAAATAAGAAAAGGCTGGATAAATCCTAAGAGTTCTTAGTCTAAACATAAAATATCACATTATTGCAATCAACCAGACCCCTCCTTCCTTAGAGTGCTCTACCTAAATGACCAGCTCAGGAGGTATATCCTTTTCATTTGTCCATAGAAAATTAAAAGTGAATGCAGCATTCCATTTACTAGTTAATTACTAACCACACCAGCTTAAAAGGCTAATGAAGTCAGTGGTCAGCCTCTAAATTGCAGGCTCAATTGGATTATTGGAACCACATCTGCTGTTTGAATGACTCTTGGCAAGTTCCTGGAATGGGTGCATATGTTTGGGTTGTGGGGAATTCCTAGCTATGGGGGCAGTACTCTATTTGGGGGCTCTCTCAGGGCTAAAAGCCATTGCTTACCCAAGGGGGCCACCTTTTATCTAGTCCTGGCAGCAAGTTCCATGTAACATATTGCTTTAAACTCACCAAATAATCTTCAGAGTCCTCTGTAGACACATCAGAGTTCATACTTGACAACAGATAGTCAAACTGACTAAGAAACTCTGTGTTAACAACATGCAGTATTGCTGATAGACCCCAGTGAGCTGGACTGTCTTGGGTGCGAGAAATGTAACTTCCGACACTGAATACTTGGTTTTCTGGAGGTGTTGTTTTGATGATAAATAAACTAAATCAGTCATTATGCAATGCAGCCTTCATTTTTATTTCTGGGCAGTTGTTCTTACAAGGTAAGGGTGCACTTTCTTAAGGCAAGTTCTCTTCAATGAGTAGATTTTATGAATGTATCGCCTAAATGGCAGGTCAAAAAGGGAAAAAGTTTGGCTGAAGGTGCATGATGCAGGGACCTGACCCAGCACAGCCACGTCTATAATTCATGATTTAGCCAGAGTTTAAGAAGGCTTCCTGTTCAGCCTGACCTCGCTCAAACAATCAGCAATTAATCATAAGACTGCTGCTCTGTGTCTTTCTTTCTGCTTTCTTTTAGCCCCCATCTTACAGGGCTTGTTGACTTATTTCAGCCCTTACATAATGATTTTTTGAAATGTTCTCAGACAAGTTTAATTACTTAAGAATGCACAGGTCATATCACAAAAAGTTATTACACCTGACTGTCCAATAATCATGTCTCACAAAAATTACTCTTACACTGTTTTGGTATTGTTTGTTAATTGATACAAAGAGAAATCCCTCGAAACCTGTTGTAATGCCCACTTTTTATTGTAAGGTCAACATTTGCCATACTCTAACAAAACAATGCCTTGAAGCATCATAAACAGGCAAGTATTAGGCTAAGAATTACTTGGTATAGCAAGTTGTTTATTCATTAATTACCTATCTTCTCAAGAACTGAAGTATTTTCTTCTTCAAATAAGTGAAACCTATAGAAATTAAAATTATTTAATTTTTTTTTAAAAAGTTAATTATGGATAAGTGATGAAGAATAGATGACAGCAAGAAGGAAACAATGCAATAAAATTATTTTAAAAGAGGCAGACTTAAAAAAACCAATCCATTCATCACTTTTCAATCTCTAATAGTTAAATTGGGTACCAGTAATTACACAATGCAATCATACAAAAACTAAATGAGTGAACATAATTTTATTACCAGGTCTTTCATTGGGTCGGCTCAGATCTATTCTTAACTAGCAAATTAGTTTCTTTGGGACAACCATGATGGGGAGGGGGGGATGGGATATAGAGTCTATTTTTAGGGCTGTTCCCTATTTTTAGGGCTGTGATCATTTCCTTCATTCTCGTAACCTTAATGTATGATTCAGGGGTGATATTTTAATGACAAATTAGATACTAGTCACACTTAGGGCTCTAAAGGTTAATTAACAATTATTCCACGAGCACGCGTTGGATATGAGTTGGCTATAATCATCTCATATCCAACAAGCACGAGTGGAATAATTGTTTTATTAAAAACGCCCCCAAGAAATTATTATTTTGGAAGAAGAAACTGGATTTTTTAGCTCCCTTTTGATATTAAGCTGGCACGTACGCTTACCATATT